CATTTTGTCTATTCAGTATTCCTGCAAGCTGTACTACTCATGAACCAAATGTGTTTTTTTTTTTTTTTTTATTGCAAAAGCTCTTAAATACATGCTTTCTGCTGCCATTGTTACAAATGTAATGCATAAGGCTCCGTTTTGGAAGTGCAAATGCCAGTTCGGGGCATATATGTACTCTGGTCAGTTTAGCTAGTGTTTGGGTAAGAATGCATTTATGTACTGAAGGCTATGTTTGGAAGGAGTACAAAACCTTGTATTTTGTATTATTTTGTATGCATTTGCACTGTACATATTTGTATTTGTACTCCTTCCAAACTGAGCCGAAAGTGACAATTTCCACGAATTTGAAGGCATGTGTGCATCCAAAATGAGAGCAAAGTTTGCATCCATTTTGAAAAGGTCTATTTCAATCTCAGATTCGTGTTTACACCCATTACAAATAAAAATCTTTTGGCAAGAAGGTAAGTTTATCACTGCAAAACCACACCAACTTTGCATTTACATGAACCAGAATGCACTCTACAGATTTGTGTTTGCAGTTTTCCCAAGCGGAGCAACAGCCCAATCAAATGATGGAGGTGGTTTATCTATATTTGTATTACATAGAGGAAAGAGGGAAGCCAAGAATCTTCTCACCTCCATGCTTACATGGACCTTTTTCTCCTTGCCTTGTCACAATTTTTATTTATTTTAAATTGAAAACAAAAAAATCACAATAACAACCTTCTTGAGTCTTAATTCTCTCTAATAAAACCTTTATTATGAGCCCAAATCCTACAAGCAAAAGCTGTGTACATGGCATCAAGGTTCAAAGGATCGACACGTATCGGCCAATACGTATCATTTTGGGACCCTTCTGATATGCCCCTATAATGGGTGTATCGGAGGTCTGACCGGTAGAGGCGTATCAGGCATATCAATATTTTGAATCTTGCACGATATCCACCTGCACATTGAGAATATCTCCTCTAGTTAAATTTGTAGGAAGACGTTCCTAATGCGTGGTTAGCTGCAAATTATATTGGCTCCGCACAGACACAGAGCATGCCCCACATGTGCCATTGCTGGATGCCATGCATACAGAGTGTATGCAGAATTTTTGCTTGCAGGAGATTCCATCACCTTTATTATCCTCTCTCTCTCTGTCACTCTAATAAAGTAAGAGATAATTTGGATAGGTTGGGTCGCGTAGGGTCAACCCAAGCCCAACCATAGACATAGACCTCTAGCCTGGTGCCAGATTTAGGTCAAAATACAAGGTTGTCAACCCAAATCTCACCTCGGCTTAACCCAATACAATTTGAGATGGGATCGGAGGGGTTTGGTAGATCTTAGGTGGGTTGGTTAGATTTATAAAACTAAAACTATCCATGAGAAATGATAATTTCCCTTTTCTTTGATTTTTTGTTTATTTTAATATAAGCATTGATTATAAATGATTATTTATTTCAGTTTTATATCTAATCATCACCCAAACACTATAAAACAATCAGCCAATGATATCTTAGGATTTTTTCTTGGGCTCAGTTTGGAAGGAGTACAAATATGTATATGTAGAGTGCAAAGCCTTGTATTTTGTATTATTTTATACATAGTTTTTAAAATCGACCCGGAGACCGAACTGGTCAGGGGTCCAGTTATTGGGTCGTTTGACCCGAATGGTCGGCCCGTTCTGACAAAAAAATTAAAAAAATTGAAAAATGGTCAAAACCGTTTGAATGATTAACCACTCGGTTCAGCAGTTTGTTGACTAAAATCAACGCTTTTTTTGAGAAAATCCGGTTATGGGGGGAAACAAAACCGGTCATTGGTTCCCGATTTTTCCAGTCCAGTCCGGTTTTGAAAAAAATGCTTTTGTATGTATTTGCACAATACATATTTGTATTTGTACTCTTTCCAAACTGAGCCTTGTCTTATACCGTCCTTAGATTCATTTTTTTTATGAGTTGGTGTACATAGGATTTTATCAAATTTCTATTCAATCTCATACATTGCATGTGTTCATTTGCTAGTTATCATGTGGAGACGTTCCCAATGCATGGCTATATTGTGTTATGGGTATGTGTGGGTGGCAGGTCCGAGCTCTAAAGTAGGGCCTCCCCCTTCCTTTTACGCCTTCACTTATTTCTGTCATGTGGGACTAGGGATGGCAACAAGGTGGGTTCGGGGAGGGTTTTGTAAATTTTAGATCCTATTCGCCTCTCTAAACCTCTCAATCCATACCCGCCCCAAAACCTATGGCAGGCTGGATTTTGAGAATCAAAACCCTTTCCGCACATGAAAAAGCAAAACCCTCCCTGACCCTACCCTCCTTGCATTCAAGGGTAGAGGCGGGTTGGGTTTAGAACCCACATTTAATGTCCTATTATTTCTTAGCCGATACGAGCCGGTAGGTAATGAAATTTTGATCCTTGCTGGGTAGGGTAGAAATGGGACTAATGTTGTGGTTCTTCAAAACTATGCATCGAAGCAATTACCATCTAGTTGAACAAAAAAGGCATAAAATAAACACAACTCCTTTTGGGCCTTAAACCAAATTGCCATGGGGAAGATCCTTGGGTCGTGTGCACTTCCTCTCTGAATGAGATTCTGGATCTTCTAACCATAAGAACGCTATTCACACCTATCCACAATACATTGTGGCTATGTATTGGAAACACTTCCCATCCTTGTATAATGTCAGTCATGGGGAGATATTCTAGATGGGCGGCAGTTGCAGCTACACTTATGGGTAGCAGATCCAAATGCATTGAATGAACTTGGTATATATGATTTAAAATATCAATATGATACACTTGATGCATGATGAATCCGGTTACCCAAATAAATCCTGGGACGGAATGGGCTTTCCATAGAGCATGCCCCACAGTCCATTCCCTCCGTGAATTAGGAACATCTCCCTATGACAACAACGGAAGATGTTCCCAATGCATGGGGGAGATGGGATGTGGGGCGTGCTCTATGAGGAGACCATCCAATCTCAAAAATCCTACCCTACTCAGACGTTTCTCTACCTAGTGGTTATAGCTCCCACTAGACATATTCTCACCACTAACATTCTAGCCAGTAACCAATAGAAACATAAGGTGAATGGTGAGCCAATCCATTTAACAGTACTCAATTGGACTCCATTAACATTTAAGATTGCTGCGTTTGACTCTTCCAAGCTTAAATCCTCTTTAGATTCCAAGAACTGTAAATTTTGGAAACCAATAGAAAAAGGGAAATTCTATGCTGGAAGATTATAGTGGGAAGGGTTTGACCAATCAACCCCCTCGTGAATTTTGATGAATACCCACCTGATTGGTTACTACTTTTATGATGTCAGTTGATCAGTTATAAGGTTTTCTTGTGTCATGTATTTCCACCATTATAGTTAAACCCATAGGAAAAACACTCTTCCAAGCATAAATTGGTAACTTTCCCATTAGATACTTGGGTTTGTAGCTTGCTTCTCAACCTCATGTTTAGTATTTCATTGGGAATGGTAAAAGTACATTGTTATCACTTGATCCTTGGCACGACAGAGGTATTCCAGGTGAAATCATTGAAGTCGCCCAATGTGGAATAATTTGGGCCTCAAGGATGTCTACAGTGAGTTGTATGGTGTAGGATCATAGGTGGAGCCCTATAGAATCTCGGTTTTCCCCTGCTCCAATCCATTTGGGATGAATCTCTTTCCATCTCTATTTTAAAGAACTAGGAGGACAAAGTTGCTTGTCTATCGAACCCTCATGTCTCCTTCACGGTGAAGTTATCATGGAATTAGATAGCGATAGCAAGCATGGCTCCCTGCTTCTTTGGTATGGTATCCAGGAGACATTCCTCGCCATGCTTTTATTGCTTGGTTTGCTAGCCTCCGGGTTCTCTCTACTAAGGATCTGTTAAATTCCCATGAAGTTTGATATAGGCACATGTGGCAGGGTCCAGATCGCACCACGTGGCAGGGCTAGGAAGCCATCCTGGCCGTCCGCTGCTAAATACTCCTGGCAGGTTCAAGTATAAATAAGTGGCATCACTCTCTATGTAAGCTATCTTGCCTTCTATTATTCTTAAGCTCCCTGAAGGCCTCATCTGAGATATCTCTACTCAGGCCTTGTCTGACCCCTTGTTACGTGTTTACTAACTTGACTGTCAGAATCTCCACCCCTGGGATAACACCCGGGGCCTCTGATATGTTTCCTTGCTTACAGGTCAGACATTGAAGCCCTCGGACTCAATTATCCCTCGTCTGTGGAAGTATAATTACATTGTTGCCCTCGGCCCATCCTTGGCAGCAATAGAGTTCATATTCGTGATATCTTGCCGTGTTCTCTGTTGTCAAGACCAGGAACCCCATGATCATTTGTTCATCTTATGCCCTTTTTCTTGCAGTGTTTGGAGGATTATTCTCCTTGGGTATGCTCTTCTATGGCCAGAAGTTCTATCTTGGGATTTCTTTCTATCTTTGAGTTTGATCTACTTGACTACAACAGTTTGACAAACATAATAGAAGGAAGGTTTTTGCTTAACATGGACTACAACAGTTTACCATCTATAGGCTAAACATAATAGAAGGGTTTGCCAAAATTACTTTACCCCCTAATGTGTTGGTACAACTACTTCTGGCAGATGTCTTGGGGTGTGTTGAGGGTTGTATCTCTTAGACCCTTGACTCCTCTAGTAATAGAGAATTCTTTAAATGTTGAAAATTGAAGACCCGCTTTTTCACTCTCAGTGAATCTTGGCATGCCTAGACTCCTCCAATTGTGGTTATTTGCACTAAAGTGGATGAATTTCTC